ACATTCAATTCTTGATTGGCATATGAACCACATACATGGCGGATAGTTGAACCAGCAACGGCCTTTGTACGGAATTTTCGGGGATTCTGATAGGCTCCTTCATTACCTTGACACGTGATGTTTCTAGACCTAATTGGAAATGGAAATTTCCACTAATCAGTAGTGATTTGGTCACTTCACGTTTTTTCCAGGAAGCCTTCCGTGGAAGCAATGCGCAAGCCATATAATTACGGTGAAATTACGCATTGAAATTGTCCCGCCACCAAGGCTGACCTTGACGAGGAGCACGTTCCAAACGCAGGGCTCAAGCACTGGGCCAACTGCTAGCAACCTCGCTAAGGAGCCCTCCAGGAGCCGCGCTGCATCTTTGCGTGCCTGCCCTTACAGGCGAGCAGCCATGGAGAGGAAGCAAAACAGGCCCAGAAGCGCAGGCAAGGGTATCCCCTCTAAAGCAACCGTGCACGCAGGCATGAAGCCCCAGGCGGAGGCACCGAGGCGGAGGCCATCCACGTGCCCGAACGTGGACACAGCCTCGGGAAAGAACGCCACGTCCAGCCGACTCCATGACTTGATACAATTCCACCGCGATCTGGACCGGAGCCTGCAGATCCACGCGCAGGACGATGGAGCCGAGGACGCCCACAGGGCTCTGCAGCGGGCGGCCCTCAGGGCCCACGAGGATTTCATGGCCCGCGTTGAGAGTTTGAGGTCAATGGAGGAGTCGACATCTCTTGGGTAATCCTCCGAGAAAGGTACCCTTGGCGCTTTTGGCGGCACAGCTCGTCCAAATCTCTCCCACTCATGACAGCAGTGTCGGTGCGTGTTGCTGATCAGCAGCGCGGTGAGCCATTGCGGGGAGTCATGATTCGCTGTGCAGCAGTTCCGCGAATGAAACGCGTGAATCTTGGCGGCCAAGACCGGGCCCAATATGTGTGATCTCACGTGTTCACCCAATTTCAGGTGCACCAGCAGTCAATTGCCATTGTTTGCATTTGATATGGGTGCCGTAGATATAGTGATTCTCTTGAATATGCCCATGCAGGATATGGGACTACCCAGGGTGTTCGCTGGGCCCATCTTGTTCATATCCTGGATATGACGCATTTTCGACAATGGCCTCATCTGTCCCCATATGCGGACAGCATGGACACAATGTGCCAAAGGAGTTTGAAAGGACATTACTGTTTTCGCTATTATTCCTACGCGAAGGTCCATCCCGTTTGCAAACAGAGTTCTCGATTATCTGATTTTTGCTGTTCACGTATTGAGCACTTTTGACTGGCAAGCCTTTGCGCCGGGGATGCGGTGCGTAATACATAAACACAACCCAGATATGCATAATGCGCAATTGACAATACAATAAATGCAGTTTCTTCAATACAGATGCAAGGCCCAGAGACACATTCTCGCTAGGCACACACGTGTTCCAAATAATATATGGTGAATTCGGTGGTGGAGGTGGGGGCTTTGTGTACTAGAATTGAACGGCTTCCGTATCACTGTATTCCAGTGTGCCCACCGCAGGCCTTCAGCTTGGGAACAGCCTCTTCCACTACACGAGCTTGGAGAAACGCGGGCACACAAAAACCAGGTAGACAATGCTCGCAGAGAGGCAGCGGCTCGCGTGGTGCAGAGAAGGGTGCGGAAGCATCTTCAAGCACGTAGATTACAACGAAAGATTGAGGAGGCTGCCGAGGCGATCGCCGCCACCAGGTAGTGAACAATGCCCATCACATGTTGCCTTGTCTTCCACTCAGGTAGCGTGCCACAGCATACAGTTTCGCCAAAACTGAACTTGGATTACCACCTGCCATGCTGCCTGCAATTCCCGCGTCCTCGATATCCCGTTGCGCAGTCTGCACCACACCGGGCTGCGAGCACGTGACAGCCGCACCTTGACCAAATAAATAGCACACACAATGTTTCGTTACAGTTGCCCACGCGTCCGTGTACATTGCTCTGCAAACCCGACACAATTTGTCACTATTTGTCACAAATTTTCGCAATTTTTCAATTTGCCACATTTATCGTATGGCGAAGCAAAGCCCTTGCACTGAACTGGCGACGCCGGGCCATGGCACCGAGCACACGTTTTGTTCTCTTTGTCGACAAGGGACGGGGGGATGCAGTGCGTCCGAAGGAGGAACCTCACCTGCGCTTGGCGACTGTGTCTATGGCAGACTTGAATGAATGAATGAATTTCCTTGCAAGCGACGTGAAAACCGACATATTGATCGTGTCACCTGTCTCCGCTGAGCTCAGGTAGTTAAAACAGCATCCCTCTGTCCATGGCGGACTTGAGATGTTGTGATCGCTATCGTGTGGGTGTGGATCCAGAGCAGGCGCACAGCGGCCGCCACCATCCAGCGGTATTTTCGTGGCCTGCAGGGCCAAAGAAAAGCAAAAGCAGAAGAGGCGGAGAGGACACGCCGGGAGCGGCTGGCCACCGTTCGGGAAGCGAGGGAGCGCCTGTCTGCGGCCAGGATCGGAAGATTCTACAAGAGCTACAGGAAACTGAGGATGTCCAGGACAGAGAAGGACAGGTTCAAATCTGAGACGCACATTTTTCTGAGCTTAGCGCGGTGTGGTTAGATGCTTTTGTGGGCATTCGGCGAGTGGGTTGTCGACAGAGCCGTTTGGCTTATTTTGCTGCTGGTGACTCTGCAAAAGGGGGCGCAAATTTTGGTGCAGCAAAGAAGCCAGTGTTTCGAGATATCTATGCTGGGCTGCCATCTACAGTGTTGAAGCGCAGTCCTGGGCACACAATTTATTTGATGCGGTGTCTCGCGCAAGTGCATTGATTGGCATTGCAGCCGTTTCTGATACGTCGTATGCTGGAAAGCAGGCTGGAAACAACCTGCAGAAATGGCGATCTCCATGGCAACGGCGAGGAAAGAGCGGCTGTCATTATCCAGTCGCGTGTTCGCGGGTGGCTGGTCCGACGCGGGAGGCAGCTGTGGTGGAAACAAAGGACAGCGGAGCTCAGGGACCGAGGCGCCCACAGAGCCAGATGCACGCAATTGCAGAGAACTATACTGGCCACCAAAGACACAGAGACAAAGGTGCTTCACGCAGCGCTTCATCAGGGCCAGCGGCAGTTGATGGATTTTCGTCATATTCTTCTCGTATTTCATTATTTGGTGTTTGCTCATCGGCATTCCAACGTTACCATGTTTCTGTACTGAAATTGGAGCACAAGGGTCGCTGTTGCCTGCAGGGACAGAAAACCGTGCTTGCGGTGCATTCCGTATTTCACGCCCGATGCATACGGCAGCTTTCCACCCTGGGATGATTAACCAGCGCGGCTCCCCTGACGAAATGCACCGATGCATGCCACAGGCCCAGCCATGCCATGGTCCCCGACCGCATGTCCCGTTGCTACAACTACAGCTCTGTCTTGGGCGCTTCGAGGTTGCGCCCTCCTACTGTCCAGAGCTTCTGTTGCAGTACTTCTAAATATGAAATTTGCATCAGCAAATTCTTGCTTGAAAGGGCGTCGTCCATTGCATGACTTTGCTCTGGTCAATATAAAAGAGTTATACAAAGGTAGGCGGGAAACACGGCTGACGTCACACTATTTGGTCCCACTGTCGCGCCGCTGAATAGCACCGCATAATTCTCAGCAACGCAACATTCTGCTGGCAAGAATAAGAACCGTTTGAAGCTTCCACGAAGGCAAGCAGAGCCGCCATCGATCCTGTCGGCTCCACACACGGTGCGCATGTTCATGCAGTGCGTGGTGCCCGTGACCGGCGCACCTTGCTGGCGAGACTGCAATGCGGGTCTTCCCCTCCCCAACCTTCAGCCCTTCTGCATAGTAACGTAACGCTCGGCCTTTTGTCGCGGAGAACACAACAAAATGAATAAAGCTCCTTTAATAAATTCGCGGAGCAACGTATTAACTAAGAATGACGCTCTGCAGAAAATGTGCAACAAAAAGCGTGACGGTCGAATTGTTTAATGCGGAAGGGTTGAATATACCACAGCATGCACCCCCCACCCCCCACCCCACCCCTTGCAGTGCCTCAATCTGTGTCCTCCTGCAATCAGATTCTCCACAACTGGCTGCGGAGCGCCGCTCAGATGTGCCGCATCGTCGATGACTGCCTGGCGGAGAGGGCGAGGCTGGAGGCCGCCTGGAGAGCGTGGCTTAAGGCCCAAGTCAGCGAGGTGCGCAACGCGGCCCTGCCCCACGGCTGGAGGGTGCAGCGGGATCCAGTCACGAAGTCAACCCTCTTCCTTGACACGTCCGCCATGAAGCTCCATTCACAACACCCGCTCGTCTCGCGCCTCAGGCAGTTCTGTGAGGGGCAGAGGGCCAGGGCGGACGGCAAGTTCGATGCTGTGGCGCGCCCCCTGTTCGAGTCCATGCGCAGGCTGGGTCTTGCGGCGGAGGTGGAGAATGCGAGTCTGTACGCGCGACTGAGGCGCGAAAGGGAAGCGCTGCTGGGTCCAACGAGGTGGGGAGGCAGCAAGGCCAGCCGCCTGGGGACTGCTGCCGGACGTGCGGAATGAGCTTGTTGCGCAGGGACCTGCGCACAGCATCGCCTTGCAGGCGCTTTTGTGAGCCGTTGGCCAGTGCAGACGCAGGGTTTGCACACATGACGAACAGAGTGCCATGAAGCGCTTTCCGTTTCGTTCATGGGACTGGCCATCTTCATGGGCCGCCCCATGCAAGCAACCAAAGCAACAGCAACCATGTCCTCAGGCGCGGATTGTGCAAAGCACAGGCTGGCAAAGGGCGCAGGGTGCAGCGACAAAGATATTTGATGCAGGCGAGGTGACTGCAGCAGGATAAACGGTGGTGGAAGGGTCAGCAGCAGCAAGGAAGGATGAGGAGCGTGGCCCAGTGGGCCCACAGGTCGGGGATCGCATCCCATCTACAAAAATGCATGCACAGAACTTGTAGTGCTGCCTTGCGACCAAAACTCCCATCCAAAAGGGTTCAAAATACAATACAATGCTACTACAGCTCGGGCGCAAAAAATGTGTTCAAAAAATCATTCGTCGATAAGGGTGGGCACACTCCTGAGGTCCAGCAGTGGCACGCCTGGGGGCTTCCTCGAAACGTAAGAACGCGGGTCTGCAATGCCAACGTCGCTGTAGGTCGACACGTCCCCATCGCTGTCATAGTAGCCCGCATCAGACTCGTGTCTGGAGAAGAGCCTGGGCCCCCTCCCCCCCGGTGTCCAGCCACTGGGGAGTCCATCTGCAGGCATTCCACATCCTCCCCGACCTGCAGGGCCCGGTACCCTGCCAGGCACACACTGCCAGGACGCTCGAGTTGCCGGCTTGCGTCCACAGAGGGCATCCTGCGCCCTCGTGCGCTGAGGCCCATGCCACTGCTTCGCAGGGGCCGCAATGCGATGCATTCTCTTTCCTTCGGCCCTTGGGCGCTGTTCTGCCCTGGGCTCGAACGGGTGCTGTCCTTTGTTTCCCTCCGAAGCATGCCCACCTCTCTTCCTTGGCCCTCTGTAGGGGCGCCTTCCCTGCCCGTGGTTGCCCACCTGCTCACCTGGAGACAGCAACTTTGGCGACTCTCCATGGGTGGTACTAGGTGAATGGCTGGCAGCCCCGCAGCCATGGTGATGAGTGTCGTGCCCCCTCCACTGCCGGAGCTGTGTCGAATTAGGAGGGAAGCGTCGGGGACCTCCAGGATTGGGCTGGTCATGCCCCCTTCCATCCCCGAAGCTGTTGTCCAGTCTGGCTGGCGGTGGCTCCCTTCTCCTATCCCTGGACAAGTACTTCAACGCAGGCTCCACGTCCACTTTCCCCGTAGATGGATAATTCAGACGGTCTCCAGAGTGGCCGTGTTCAGCAGGCATGCTGCCTCCATCTCCGGACTTCCTCCATCCCAAAACCTCGTTCCTCTGCCACCCTGCCCACCTGTCCCCCATTGGCGACCTGTCTTCACAGCATTGGCGGGCTTGAAGCGACTTGGCAGACCCCTTATGGCCCAACCCTTCGGCAGCCCATGGCCTCCATGCTTCCCCATCAGACCAAGCAGCAGAGTTGTTGCCATGGGGCTGCCAAGGTCTAGCTCTGCTCTTTGACACGTCAAAATGCTGCACCTGCATGAACTCACACGAATGCCTTTCCCGTTTTCCATTGTCTGGCCGACTTGCGGGTGCCATCTTGACTGTCTCCATGCAGCCAGATTCCCGCAGATCGACACCACGACAGCCAGCAAACTTGTCGGGGATTCCCTCGTGGCCTTCACCCCAGCGGGAATGGGTGTGATCGCCTCTCCCGTTGATGGAGTGTGCTTGGATGCCATTGTTCCCCCAGCCGTTCTGTGATTTGCCCCTGTACACCTCACCCTGGTTTAGAGGTGCGTTTTGGGGCCGTGAGAAGCAGTCCAAGCCTGTCCTGCGCTCTCTGTCTCCGTACTGTTGCCCTCGGTTGAGCTGGTCCATTTCCCCACCATGACAATGGTCATGTTCCCAACTATCCCGCCCCTTTCGACCTCCATAACTGCTGTAAGAAGCCCCACGCCCTTGGGCCATTGCTGTATTCAATCCAGGCGGCTTTGCGAGGTCAACGTCCTCAACCCCCTGCTCCTTGCGATACGCCGCTGCAGGCACTGCCTCGGACTTTCTCACCTGTGGTTTGTGAAGCTTCTCTGCTGGGCGTCCGCACATATTGCTTGGCTCAAATGTCCTGCTCTGCATCTGCAGATTGTACCCATCCAGACCAGACATGGACTGGTGTCGCCCATGCTGCGGACGCATCCTGGGCCGCTGATCATCCACATGGCCAACTCCCTTTTGCCAAAGGTGTGGCCTGGGGTCACACCCAGCAGGCCCTCCCCAACTGCAGCGCCGCTGGTGCTGGCCACACATCACAATGTTGCCATTCCCGTGGCCTCTCTCCTGCTCCCTTCCAGTGCGTTCTCCATCATCCCTTATAAACCCATGGGATGGAGGACTGTTGAGTATTTGCTGTGACTGCGCCTGGCGCTGTTGGGGTGCCCATGCATGGGAGACAACTCGAAAATTGTTGCCAGTTTCTCTGACTCTTGAGGGTGCCCTGCCAGCACCAGATGGGTAACAATGACGAGCATCTCTGCCATCTGCATTCCCACCCACTGCAGCCCTGCATGCAGTGGATGCTCTGACATATCTGCCTTGATCAGGTGGGCATCCCTGGTGGCCATCTGTGGGCACACATGTCCTGTGGGGTGCCTCCGATTGGGGAGGCCACTTTGCTTTTGCTGGGTCAATTGGGATGCTGTTGCAGTGGGACAGAAACTTTGGCCTTGGGATGACAGTGCCAGCATGATTTGATTTGGGAGATCCTGTTTGTGATGCAGAGGACGACAAAGACGAAGACGAAGGCAGGTGTCGCTCACCCTGCTTGTCCCACCGCCCACTCACCAGATATTGCTTGCTCCAGGTCACAGGGTTGTCAGACACACAGCCATCCTTCCCGGGGCTTTGGAAACGGGCTGCTGTGCTTCTGTGGTCAACGAAGTGCCTACCATGAGTGAGCTTCTCACGACGTGGGCGACACCAATCTTGCGATAGATGCTGAATCCCAGTTTGCGATTGGTCTTCACTTGTGTCCTGCATACGGCCTTGCACTTGGTCGTCAGTCCAAGCTCCTGACAGCGACCGGATAACGACTTCATCCATGGAGATTCTCTGATCACCGTGAAACAGTGCATCCACAGCATGCTTTGGAGCTGGCAAGTCAGCGCAGTCAGCCGGACTACCACCTCCCTGCAAGCCACATTTGGCACTGTTTGACACCGCTAAACTGCTTGTTTTACACCTGTGACCCTGTGGCAATGTGCCTGCACCAGCTTCCCGATCATAGGCCCTGCTCCTGATCATCACTCCTGAGCCCGGATAGTACTCATCCCCACAATCGTGCACAGGGCTGGGAATCTGCCCAAACAGGCCCAGCACCCCAGCATGATAATGCTTTGGGTGTGGAGTTGAGGTACAGGACTTTGAGGAAACAGAGTTGATCTCCAAGAGTTCTTGTTCATTTCCTTGTGCGGAGTCTCCACCGTCAATGCCTCTCATGTGGCCACTGTCTGCACCACTCAGGGAGTCGCATGTACCATCGCCCCACTCGCTGACGTGCCCATCTCTAGTCCATGAGTAGTCAGCTCCCAGTACGAATGACTCATCGACAGAGCTCGCCAGCAACTTTTGGTCGTGCTTTGATGATATCCAAGGTTGATATGGGGTATTGGCCTGGTGCCAAGGTGAACAAGTCATTAGTAAGGATGAATAGGAGGGCACATTTCTGCTGGATCCACTGGCTCTTTGGCATGGCACAGCAACTGTTGCTACTAGCCATACAAGCAACCCAGTGCACTGTCAGCAAGGAAGGTAAATATTCAGAAGCAGTGTCCAGGGATTAAAGTGGGGATACATTACAAGATAGTATGCCCTACTGGCTGGACGTTTACTTGACATCCTTTGGCCATGGATCGACCAGAACTGTCGCAGCGTCGTTGGGTGCAAGTGGGACTAGACAGATCATATTGTCTCCCGTTTATGCTTCTCTTCCCCACCTGCACATTTTCCCAACTCAATTCACCATTGTTTCTGTGTGTTTCATCCATAACAATGCAAAGCAAAGCTGCGCTAATTCATGTTTCAGCAGTACAAAACAGCCCCAGGTGCCTTTCAGAACGACTGCACCCCACATGCTGTACATTGTAATATGTAGCAAGACAAACAGTGTGGTTCAAAGTGCCTGAAAGTTATGCGCAATTCCTTCCTCGGCTATTCAGTTTACGTGGCCATAACACCTCAGCACAAATTCAACAGTAGCCTCACCACTGCTGAAGGTGCAGCATGATTTCTTCATCGCTTTGAGACGCTGAGAAAATTCCACCAGGCTACCTGCTGCTGAGCAGCAAACAACCGATGGCCATCCCCACTTGAACACCCAGCACAGACCCACAAGCAAACACATCCATAGACCAATTCAGGCACTTGCCTCCTGTTGCCAAACATCGCCACGGAGCACGTCAAGCAGTGGCTTTAGGCTTGCTGTGGCTTCATTGGCAGTGTCCTCTGTGTAAGCCATTGTTCCTTCTGTCTTTGAGCTTTCACAGTGATCCACCCTGAAGGACACCAGGGAGAAGTTATGAATGTGGAACAACAACGATGTATACTGCCAGAATTCTCCAACCATTGGTCTGTCTTTCCCTACATTCTCTTGATGAACACTAACTGCTCGTATGAGCGCCACAGGTGGTCACCACTGGTTGAGCAAATGCATGCCTGCTCTAGCTCACAGTTGTGTCTCCAGGCAGTCAATCATCTGACAGTTGGGATAATTGGGATTGACCAACTCCGCTCACTTCCACACTGGACAAAAGAACCTGCACATTTGGGTACACAAGTCACTGTTGACATAATTTGCCAAATCTACAGGTGGTGGACCGTTGTTCAAGCAACAGAACTCGGCAGGTGGTCCCTCCACCAATTGTATCATGACCCTGTTCAATCTCCCACTTCGAAGTCATGGTTCACAAAAGATGCCGCAAATGGACACAAGCAGGTGCGTCTCCACCCTGAGCAGTGGCCAATGGCACCTCGCCGTTTTGGGTGTCCAAGAGTCCGACCCACAACTTTGAAGGAGGACGAAGTGCTGCCAACAACAGCCCGTCGCCCAAGCGGAGATTGTGCTCCCGTTATTGCCTGCCGCCCGCGAGGACGGACACTAACTCCATTCCCCGCCAAGAAGCCACCCCCGCCCCACAGCCGCCAAAAACCAATCCGCCCGTCCACCACCGCCCAAAGCAAGACAAAACAACGTAAGGACCATCAAGAAAAAACAAGACAAAATAACGCCAAGACCGTCAAGAAAAACCAAGACAAAACCGTCGCCGACCCCAACCACGGCGCAGCCCCCACCTTGGATCCTCGCACGGAGGCCGCTCACCGGCGGCCGACTCGTCCTCCAGCGAGCCGTCCGAGCGACCCACAAAACGCTCCATCCCAATGGGCAGCGCACGGTCGCGCACGGTGCCCAAATCGCCCTCGGCCTCATCCCCTCTCTTCGACCCTCCCCTCCCTCCTTCGCTTGGCCCCACCGGCAGGCGCCCCGGCCCGCACTCCATGGCGCCCGCAGGGTCGCCGCTGAATTCGAAATCGGCTCCGGTGTCCGCCGTCAAGCAATGGTCCCCCTGCAGGCCGCCGCGCAGATGCCCCGAACGCCTCGCGGCTCCCGCGTCGGATGCCTGGGGCGACAGGGCGGCATCCACGGCCGGGCAACCGCGCTGGATCCCTGCGCCACCACCTTGGCGAAAGAACGCCACGCTCAGAAAACGGGCGCGGGAAGGCTGGCCGAGGATGCGGAGCGGGAGAGGCGCCTCGAGGGGCACGCGCGGGGGCATTGGAATCGAGGTTTTCGACACGCAGGGAGGCAACATGCCTCCCTCCCGTCCCTGACGTTGCACCCGAGCAAGCCCACAGGCGCCTGAGCACACACGCCAACCGCCCTTGACGCTCCCACGTTGCTTCCGCAGCGGGGCTGGGGCGCAGGCGCGTGGTGGGCCGGCACCAGGATTCGGGCAATCGCAGCGCCCAATTCTCACCTTGCATTCGGTCGTCGGTCCTGCCTGTACCAGGTCCGACGGGGCCACCGGGCGGCTCCTGCTGCGTCCGGCTGGCCAACGGAACATCCTGGTCGCGGCCCTCCATCGCAGAACGCGCGCGGCGCCGGCGAGCACCGTCCGTTGCCCCTCGCGGCCGCGCCCGATGGCCCTCCGAGGCGCCGACCGGGCGTGTTCGGAGCGGCCGAGCTGGTGGCACTGGGGGGGGGTTGGCGGATTCTGGCCGCCTCGAGTACACGTGTGAGAGCGCGGAAGGTCCAGCGCAGGTGGAGATCCAACCGGAAACTCCCTCCAACTGTTAGAGGCCAGGTTTGGTCTCCTCATCCTCTCGTGCGTTGATGGTTTAACTAATAGTTTGCTTGCTGGCTGCCACGTGCGGCTTGTGGGCGTTTCAAAGGGGCAGCATGGTTGGCTGGTGTAGGTCTCCAGTTGAAGACACGGTGCTTATCAATGGTTTAAGTGATCGTTAGCTCGCTCTTTTTCCCTGCTGGCATTTAATTTGGCTTGGCTCATTATTCTTGGGGCTGCCAAAGTGCTGGAGAGTGAAAGGGCACTTGAACGCCTCAGACCCGCGACCTCCAGGACAAGAGACCGGCATGAGTTGTGTCGCATAATAATACAACACCCAACCGTGGTTAATTATATCAGCAGGATCGCCCTGTTTGATTCAACACCACCTGCAAAGACTGGAAAGCTGCTGATACGCGACCCTGGACGAACGAGAACCATATGGGTGGGACGCTAACTGCTTTGCAGACAAAATGAATTACATTCCTTGTCCGCGTCTCCAGAATGTGACCGATGAGTACTGCGAGCGAAATCCAACAGACTTCAGGAGGTGCAGCCATTTGCAATCGCGGCCTTGTCACTCTATGACTATTGCCCAAAGTACAGTTGCATTGGACATTGATTGGCACTACTGCTTAGAATGACTGCTGAAGCGCACTGGTACTTTCAGCGTAATAACAACAGGTGACATTGTCAATGGAAACGTCTTTGGGTTTGGACAGTTCAAAAACATTAGGATGCGCTTCAGGTAAAGGGGCAAGGTTGGTGGGGGGATTTGCCCTGCTTCTATTGATGCTGAAATGCAAGACGATCTGTATTGATGTATACACACATTCAAGTACTGGTAAAACAATCGTGAATGTAGTGTCCTGGAACCAATCAGAAGCACACCTTGAGTACCATATCCAGATTCTCTGTCATCATTGCCATGGCCACATCCATCTGTTATTCTGAGGGGCCAATGACCATCGAGCATGAGTGCATCAACCCCAAAAGCATCAGGAACGCCAGTGTCAGGCAAGGACTGTGCATGCAATGATGTGAACATACATGGCGCACGTGCCTAGAATACAACAATGCTAACCAACTCAGCATTCGTTTGTTTGGACAGCATACGTGGCCTTGGGCCTCCCCAGATAGCCAAACCTTTCCACCTAAGCTCTGCATCATGAGCCCCCGCCCAATTCAGTGTGCCCTCAGTTAGGCACCAAACATGCCCTTAGGACTCCTCAGGCTGCCGAACTATCCCACCAAGGCTCTGCTTCAGAAACCCAGTGTTCCACTTGACCGGCTGCCTGGCAGGAGGATCAGGGGCCCCTTGCTTGGCAACATCCTGCCTGCGTGGCATGCTTGGGGTTTGCCCTTCTTGCCCAGAACGCTTGTCCTTCGTACTGTTTTCCTTAGGCTGCACCTGAGGCTTTCCTAGGGCTTTCTCTGAATCTTTTCCACCTGCAGCTTCTCTCTGAGCCTGTTCCAGCTTCTCCCTGTGCCTTCTATGAGCCTCAGTCTCTCTACGCTGTGGAGGCTTTTCTTCCTGTTTCTTCTTCTGACCCCCAGTATCTTGACCGAGCTTGTCTCCCTGTCCCACCTTGTGACCGACCATTGAGTATTTCATCCATGTGTGCTCCGGTGGAGCCACCACCCGATTCTCCTTCGCTGCCTTGTGCGACCTGTCAGAGCGCCTGTTGCCTCGTCTGTTGCCAGATGCATTTTTCTTCCAACCATCACCTGGGCCCTGACGATCCTTCCTGCGGCCATCCTGCTTCTGCCCTCGTGAACTGGCATAAGGTGACTGCCTACCCTTTGCAGCAGTGCCATCTTGCGGCTGGTTCTTCGCCCATCGATTGTCTTGCCTTTGATCTTGTGAAGCAAGATATGGGGACCTCCTGCCAATTGGTGAATCTTCCACTTGAGAAATCTTCTCCCATCGGTCCGTTTGCTTTTTGGATCCTGATGTTCCTCGCTGTAGCCCGCTGTTTTTCTTCCATGCATCGTCCTGGTTTTGCTGCCCTTTCCTGCTGCCCTCCAGGGAAGGTGAATCACTCCACAGTCCACTACAATCCCCAGTGTTCCGTTTCTTCTGGCCTTCTTGCCTTGTCTGTCCTGGACGAGATGGCTCATTCTTCTTCCATCTGCCTTCCACATCAGGCCCATATTCCTGTCGAGCACCAGCCTGTGTTTCCTGTGGCACTGCCTGCCCAGCAGGGTCAATTTTCTTCCACATATCACCCTGCACCTGTGAGCCCTCCCCACTGCCTTCCTGGCCTTGCCGGGGAGGAGCCAGTGTGGCCTCATACTCCTGAATTGCATCGCTTCGCATCCCACCATACCCCATCTTGCCTTTGGCACCACGAGGGGATGAGTTCCTCCTACGACGCTGCCTGCTGCGGCTCTTCCTTTGGCCGTCTTGCTTGCCATCCTGACTTGACTCGTTGCTCTTTTCAGCATCGCCCCGATGCTTGCGGCCTTCCCGCCTGCCTCTGCGGTTCCTTCTCTTTGACACTTCAACGTTTGCTTCTTTGTCCTCCCCGTCGCCTTGGGATGGGAGGCCAAGCCCAGAATCGCTTCGTTTAGCTTCATCGGCCTCCTGTTTTTCATCCTTCTCTTTGTCGACAAGTGACCCACCACCTTCCCCTACAATTTTTGCATCCATGCTGCCACCTTGTCTGGGATGTTTTTTGCTTGGGCTCGAGCCACCGCCCCCCATGCATGTGTCCCCCCATTCCTCGTGTTCTAAAACCTTCTCACCTATCGAGCCCTGCAAGCAAACGATCACGTGACCAAACTCAGTGAACGGACAGTCGCCAGGTGCAGTCTATCAGCAGGCGGATGGATTTTGGCACTGCAGATGAACCAGCAAAGGGGCTGTGGCCACGGCCCCACTGGCAGCTGTGGCAGACATGGGAATCAGCCGTTGACCAAACCAATAATCGCTTTCGAAACCCACCTCATCTCCACCATCATCCATATCTTCCCTGCAAACAAACAACAACTCCACAGTTTCAGGATTTGCATACGGCATTCCTCACGCGCCCCACGCGTCCCAACCATGCATCAAGCCCCCCATATCGCAGGCGACAGATGTCCCCGCAGACGCTGCCACCGCACAATGTCCCCTTCCTCCGGCCAATCACAACGGCAGCGATCCCTCGCGGCCGTGCAGCGCGGGCAATCGCCCCGCAAGGCAATGTCACATTGCACCCCCACCCCCACCCCCCTTTGTTGGTTGACACCCGCTCCCCTTGAAAGGAGACAATCGCAATACGATACAATACAGTGCAATTCAATGGCCTGGAAGCCCCGACCAGCCCACCACTCCCCAAGGACATCCCACTGCGGGCAACCTACGTGGAGGCGTCCTCCTGCAGCCCTTCAGACGCTTCCGAGGGCGGCGGGCGGTCGTACGGGTACTGCCTGTACGCCTCCTCCTCCTTCAGATGCGGGAAGCCCACCGGGGGCGGAATCGGCAGGCCAGGCGGCAGGCCGATGGACAGGACGCTCGCGGCGGCGCCCGCCAGCTGCAGGCACCGGCCCACGGAGGCCGCCCCGGCGGGTATGGGCACCGCGCCGGGGCCGGAGAACAGGCCCAAAATCGCGCGGTCCCGCTCGCCATCCGCCCAAAGGCATTGGCTGCGGCGCACCGACCGCGGCGACTTGGTGGTCATCCTGCGCCACCCGGGGGGCAGGGGGGCCTGGGCCAGGCGGACCTGTTGGAGGCCCTCGGGGGCGCTGGAGAGACAGCGCGTAACCTGGTAGGCTATTGGGGCATTGGTTTTGGGCCCTTGGCTACCCTGAGATGCCACGCGGGAAAGCGCGCGGTCTGAGGATGTGGAAAGGACGCTGCGCCTGGATACGGTAATAATCCGCCAGCGATATGATGGACTTCCGGGGGGGCCCGGTTTAGCGACCGCCGTTTAGCGCCCTGTCCATGTTCAGTGACCCCTGCAGAAGTTGCCCCATTGCGCAGAAAATGGCGGCAGTCATGTTGAACATAATGAGGAGGGCCAGGCCATTGTAAGCCATTCTGACCGCTCCTATAATGGAATTCGTCTTCGTTTCATCAATATTCAGCATCCAGGCCAGCCACCCGAGTAGGGTCACCAGGAAGTCCCCAATCCACTGGATGCCAGCGCCCAGGAACCTCACACCCCGTCCGACAGCGCCAGCCAACGCCGCCATGACGGCAGCCCCTTCCATGGGCGATCCCGGAAAGCTCATAGTCATCGCGCACCTCACCGCAGAGGCCTCCACCAGTTCCGTACAACGCAACGTCCTCCCCGCGTCCACTCGTTGCGCGTACCGGCCGATCCGCACTCCCGTAGGGTGCTACGGCACTCCAACACCAGCGACGGCGCTCGCCTTGCGTAATGCGCCGCCCTCAGTCACTCCGGATCCCACGAGCGTCTCACCAGCACTCGGCGTGAGTGCGCGGTACACCACAGGGCCCCGAGGCTCCTTAGGCCGGCTCACGTACTCTCGGGTAACGTGAGGGGGCAAGGCCAGCGGTGGCCGAGCCTGGCGGGGGGCTGTGGTGCGACGGTGGGGAGGTACAGGCGGCTGGGACACTCTTTGTCACACAGGGGCCTGCCGGAGAGCTGTCGGGACAGACTCCCCGCGGCTATTTATTACAGAACTGTCTTTTGGGTACAACCGGCAACCATGCGTTCACTCCTTCTCGTCATGCCTCCCTGTTCACTCATCCAACTGGACACGACACGACCCAATCACAGCAAGTTTCCGGTACAATCCGTCCCGTCCGGTCACACGCCAGCCAGGACACCCCAGAGATCATTCTCCGCCAAGGAAATCCTCGGACAACTCCATCCTTGCCAGCTGGCTTCCGGTGGCTACCCTCCGTCTCGTCATCCGCCAGCCCGGACACCGTCACGTCACGACTGCCAGCTTGTCTCCCCTCTTCCCGTAATCCGCGCCCATCAACCGCCGAATCCCGGCGGGAGTGATGGCGTCACCGCGTCCTCGCTGCGTGTCCCATCAAAACCGGGTGGCAGGGTTGGTGTCGTCATCGCGGTTGTGCCGAGGGTTGCTGGTACAGCGGGTGGTCCACCAGCGGGCGCTTCATCCATGACGTCATCGTGGACCTGCCCCTGTCGCCTCGCCTCGCGTCGCTGACGTCGGATGGCCCTCCGCCAGGCCCGCTCCTCTGCGCGCAACTCCACGGCCGTGTACGGCGGCTTGCCAGCATTGACGCGTCGGGCCACAATCGCGCTGGCTTCCACGAAGGGGGCGGAGGGCAGTACAGCGGCGTTGGGTTCCGTCTGAACCCCGAATTCCTTCCGCTCACGTGGGAAGGTCTCGGAGGCGCTTGACGGATGTGTAGCCGCGTATTCGCGGCGGGTCACGCCTCCACCCTCCACGCGCCAGCTTCGGTCATCGGAGTACGGTACAGCGATGTCCAGGCTCACATGTACTTGGCGGTAGTAGAAGCTCAGTTCCGCACCGCGCCAGGCATTGATCCGCCCCCCTTCGCGTTCGATCATCGCGGTGATGTGTTGACGGAATGCCTGAATCCCCATGCCGGCGTAAGGCCGATGCGGATGGGGATGCACCTGGAGCGCCCAGGGGCGGTACACGGCCTCCGGATCGTAGTCGGGGTTCCAGGCTGGCTTCTCTCCAGGCCCAGGCAGATGTCCTGACGTCAATTGCGTTGATTCCATGCGCTCGTACGCCTCGCGCGCCTGCTCCTGGAGCTGATATCGTAATGCCTCCTCCCCATGCTCTCGTTGATGGTGCAGCCATTGTTCATCTTCGGCGCTGAACGGTAGGATCACCGTGAGCCCGAAGCTCCAATATCCTGGCGGGCAATCAGCTCGCTCGAGGTACCACCTCGAGAGCCAGAGATCGCCGAAGGCAAGCCACTGAGCGATGAGTATACGCCAGCTTTCGACTTGCCGAAAGCGCGCTGCGGTCATGGCTGCTGGGAAGGCGCCGAACAGCTGCTGGGGAGTGAGAGTGGAAGGCGGGGCTCGCTGTGCAGGAAGGACAGAGTGCAGGAGAACGCCACTGTGCGCTTTTGCCGTTTTGGAGGTCTTGGATGGTGTTCGGATGTCGGACTGGTCGCTTGGCTGCTTGTGGGTGTGTGAAAGGATGTCGTGATCCTATGCTGGACGTCAAAGTTGGACAGAACCGTGGATGCTGATGCGTAGTCAGCCGCATAGGGCATGAAAACTGTACAATGGAGCTGATTCTGAAGTCGTAGTCGCTGAGCGGCTTGATCTTGTACAATTCTGGTCGGATTGTCGCTTCTTGAGCGCTTCTCATGCTGCCGCTGTCTTCAGATGTAATATGCTTTTGAGGTGGTCAGTCGATGCTGCTGGCAATATTGCCGGTAGATGCTGGGAAAATGAAGTTGATGGAGACATTTGCCATGTCATTTATGGCCTGGGAATGGCCAACTTTAACATGGGCACTCCCACGCTGAACTGCGCTCCTACTCCGAAGTCCTGGTCGTCCGGCTGGGTCACCATACGTGTTCGTTGTCGTCAAACTTCTGTATGAAGTTCTCGTGGAACACGAGGATCTTCTTCCGGCCCGGCTTGTCGCGTATTCGCTCCTGAGCCCTCCAGAGGCTGCCGGGAAGCTTCTCAACCAGTTTGTAGGGGCCAGCCCAACGCTTCATCAACTTGTTTCGCTGTTTCTTGAGGCGACTGAAATCGTAGACAAGGACAGTATCGCCAACCTGCAGATTCTCCGAGAAAACTCTGAGGTTCTGATTGGCCCGATCCCTTGCCTTGGCCATCTTTTGATGGGCTTCCAGTCTGACCTTGTAGTCAGCTCCCCACATCTCATTTGGCGTCATTCCAGCAGTTGCATGTACTGACCTATTTATATTCTGAACAACCCAGTCTAATTCGGTTGTCCATGTGCCACCCGTAGCTAGAACCCGTTTCCCAAGCTGATGTACAACGGTTCGATTGCACCGCTCCACTACGCCAATACTTTCGTGGCGGTAGGGAGCTATAAACAGGTGCATTACGCCATTGCCCTTGCACCATCTCCGAAACTGGTCGCTTTGGTATGTACTGGCGTTGTCAGACACCAAGACACCAAATGGGCCATGGAATGCCTTCCAACGCTCTAAGGCACGTATTGCCTCCCCACTATCCGTACTAGCTATAGCTACAGCATCTATCACCCTTGATGCTGAATCTACTACACACTGTATGTACTCCAACCCATCTTCCTCCGGAAACGGTCCCACTATATCCACAAAAATAGTGTGACCTGGCTTGAGTGATACCGGGGGCTGTCCAAACCCCCTTCGGGCAATCAATGGCCTATATAGCGCACAGATCTCACACTGAGAGCACATTTGCTTAATTATTGACCATGGTACAGAATGGCCCTTTTGTCTAAGGGCATACTGTACTTTAAACGGTCCCCAGTGTCCATCACAGTGCTCATTCCAGGCCAACTGCCGTAGTTTACTCCGCCTTTCTTCCTTTGTCATTGCTGACTGACGGTTTGTATGTACACCCAGTCCTACTGGCTCCAGAAACACTTCAAAGGATCTGTTTGCTGTGGTAGAACTGCTGATGGAGTAGCTTCTTGGTTGATTCTTGGTAGTCATACTGCAGCTGCAACTTTGCCCTCTCCTTCCCAGTCTGACATGGAAGCTTTCGCCATTGGGCCTGCTCAAAAGGTCCGCTCCCGTGTTCTGAGAACCAGCCATGAACTCTAAAGTAAACCCGGGTTCATTAGCAACGAGCCACCCCCATTTTCGGTAGGCTCTAATGTCGCTGTCATGTAGATACCCGGATTTGAACTTATCAAAGATTGCATGGCTGTCGGTCCTCACTACTAGCGGTACGGCTCCTCTAAACGCCTTGGTACGTTTGCAGGCCCACACAATTGCTTCCAGCTCACCCAGATATGATGAAGTTGCTGCTTTTACTGATCTACTCCCGATATCTACCAATTTTTCTTCCCCATTTCGTTCTACAAACAGCATATATCCACTATGTCCTGTGCTCCAGTCAGACTCCAGTGTGAAGATATATCGGTCTGCCTCCGCCCCTGGCAATATGAGCCATTTGATGTTGTCTAGGGCGAGCTGAAAGGCAGCCTTGATTTTTTCCTGTACAACGCTTCTTTTTGCATCAGAAAGTGGTCCAGCCTTCCACTCCCTGAGCATGTCGCGTAGTGGGCCCAAAATCCTTTCTATGCCAACTATACATCTCCTGGCATACGAAAGGACCCCAATAACTGATTCTAGTTGTTTTATATTTTCCACCTGCCCCACTTCCTTCATTTTTTTCTGTAGGTATTTTTCAAAACTCCAGTGCCCATTACTAATCTCATGTCCCAGAAAGGTGATGGACTCACTACACCATACCACCTTCTGGAAATTCACCTTCACTCCGTAATGGGCGAACCTGGAAAATACCAATATAACTTTTTCTCGGAGTTCCTCTAGGGTCTCAGCGCCCACCAGTACATCATCACTGTACTGGGGGCAGAAAGTATTATACAGGATTTCTGAGACCCTTTCCCCAAAGAACACCGAGCTCCACTTCCAGCCCTGGGGTAGCCTAACCCAACGGTACCTCCGTGTACCAAAACTGAACCCGAAAAGCTTCGATAACTCGTCATCCACCGGCACCCCAAAAAACCCGTCCTTCAAGTCTATTTTACAGAAATAGCGCCA